GTTGCCTCCACCTGGAGTATCTGTCTGCTGCACCCCACTTTTTCCCTCGTAAACTCCTATCTTCCTTCAGACTTTGGGCTTTCGACCTCACTTGCTCAGGGCAACCTCTCCTGGTCTCCACTGTGAGGTTGTTTGCTTCTCCTCTGTTCTCCTGCAGTCCCTCTTAGGGCCCTGTCACAGCCTTGGTTACTTTTTTTGATTGTGTCATTTTTCTCTTTACTCTGAAATAACATGCTGAAGAGTAGCAACTGTCTTTCTTGTTTAAGAGTATGTCCCCAGAGCTTGGCACAGTGCCTGGCATGCAGTAGGCTTATAGTACATATGTTACTGGTGGAATTGTGTCCCCCCAATACATTTATATGTTGGAATTCCGGTGCCCAGCACCTCAGAATGTGGCCTGATCTAGAAATATGGGTGTTGCAGATAGAGCTAGTTAAGATGAGGTCAGTCTGGTTAGGGTTGGCCCTGATAGAATATGACTGGTGTTTATAAGAACACCATGTGAAAATAAAGACACATGAACAGAAGGCAGGTGATGTGAAAATATACTGGGAGGAGACAGCTGTGCTAGGCTGTTGTGCATTGCTATGAAGGAATACCTGAGGCTGGGTAATTTATAAAGAAAAGAGATTTAATTGGCTCATGGTTTTGCAGGCTATACAGAAAACAGCACTGAGCATCTGCTCAGCTTCTGAGGAGGCCTCAGGAAGCTTCCAATCGTGGCAGAAGGTGACATGGGAGCAGGCATCTCACATAGCAAAAGCAGGAGCAAGGGGATGAGAAGTGCCATACAATTTTAAACAACCAGATCTTGTGAGACTTTACTCACTATGGTGAGAACAGCACCAAACCACAAGGGATCCACTCCATCCACCCCAAGCAGCTTCCATAGGCCCACCTCCAAGATTGGGGATTACATTTCAGTGTTAGATTTGGGTGGGGACAAATATCCAAACTATATCCATAGCCATCTACAAGCCAAGTAAAGAGTCCTGGAATGGATCTTCCTCTCACAACTCTCAGAAGAAACTATCCCTGCTGAGACCTTGATCTTGGACTGCTAGCCTCTAGAACTATGAAGCAAATTTATATTCTTTAAGCCATCCAATATATGGAACTTTGTTATGGCAGCCCTAGCAAACTAATATTACATGTCTCTTCAAAGACTGGATTTCCGACTCTTTTAAATGTGCTCCTATAAGCAAAGACTTAGCACATGCACAAATATACCCCAAACAGCTCCATATTCCACAAATAGATGGACCCACAAGAATGGCAAGCGCAGGTGGCTCTTAGTCATTGCGGCAAGCAGCCAGTTTTAGCTTCCAAAGACCCCCTCTCCTGGGGTATTCCAGGAACTTCACCCAAGTGGGCAGGGGAGGCGCCCTCTCAGCGAGCCCCCACAGCAGGGGGAATGTGAGCTGGTGGGCCAGCAGGTGCTCATGTTGCCCTCCCAGCCAGAAGAAGCAACTGGGAAAAAGCCAGAAGGGATGGGAGTTTGATGGAGAAAAGATCAAGGAGGAAGAGAAATAGAAGCAGGAATGTGGAGCCAGTGTGTATTCATTTGGCCTCCGGAACCATACCACAGGATGTCAGGGCAGGCTGTACAGAAGCCAGGATGTCAGGGGGGAATTTCCATCCTTCTTTCAAAAAGTTCTCCTCCTCCATTTGATTGCGGCCTCTAATAAGCAATTCTTCCAAATTTCTTCTGACTTCAGAAGTTCAGAGTATGTTGAGCTGAAGAAACACCAGGATCATAATTATGGTTATTATAGGGAGCTGTGTGCCCATCACCACAGCATCTGGCTGTAATCACATACTTAATGGAAGGCGAGATGATCTGTTGCTCATAATGGGCAGTTTCTGAGCCAGGCAGCCACCAAACGCTCACCCTCCCACTAGGAGGCCCAACAGAACAGATGTTTGTAGAAAGAAAAGATACTTATGTCTGTCTGGAGGGCCAGTGACTTCAGAAACAGTGTCGGGGAAAGCAAGTCCCATAACTGGGTCATGGCGTGTGTATGGCTCTGACCAGCCAGTAAGGTTGAGAAGTGGGCTTTCCCTCCACTCTGGGTGGCAGGGAAGGGATGGATGGGGCAGATCTCATTGTCCCGTCACAGATGGTGAAGTGGAAAGCTGCGGCTGTGGGGATGAACCAACATTTATTCCCATTAACACCAAGTACCTAGCCTCATTCTCCAGCAACTGAGATGCCCAATGCACTGAAAGGGCAGAGTGAAAATCCCTCTAACCAAACAATTCCTTTGAACATAGCTTAGGTCTGCTCAAGCTGCCATAACAAAATACCATAGACTGGGTGGTTTAAGGAGCAGAAATGGATTTATCACAATTCTGGAGGTTGAGGAGTCCAAGGCCAAGGTGGCAGCAGCTGCGGTGAGGACCCCTTTCCTGTCTTGCAGATGACCACCTGCAGCATCTTCGGCTGTGTTTTCACATGGCAGAGAGAGGAGGCTCTGGTGTCCCTTCCTTTTACAGGAGCACTAATATCATTGTGGGAGCTCCACTTTTTCTTGACCATTCTAACCTAATCACTCCCACAGGCCCCACCTCCTCATATCATCATGCTGGGGATTACAGTTTTGACATATGAATTTTATGGGGACGCAAATGTTCGATGCACAATAATTAAACTTGTTCTGTATATTGTGTGTGTGTATGTGTGCGTGCCCATGCCATCAACGTTTTTCAGACCTCAGGTTGAAGAGCTGAGAAACCTAGAGCCTGAGCAGGCTTAATTCTCTACAGACAGGGCCTCTGACTCCCTCAGCCCTCACTCTGTCTGAACCTACAGACCTCAGTCCTTACCTTGTGCCCTGTACTTGCTGCACGAAGTCTTAACTACAGTAGAGTCTTAGCTTATTCATCAGTGAAGCCCTTTAGATTAAACTATTAGAAACCCTGAAGCCATGTGATTCCACTGTGCCACATATTCCAGGTTCTTTAGTCAACATCCTTAAATGTAAAACACTAGAGTCAGCTGCCTTCCCTTGGATGACCGTGCCACAGTCTCTGTACTTCTCCCTTATTCCCATCTGCTGCTGCTGCTTGCCTTCTGTGGCTCCAATGAAAATAAACTTCCTTATTTCCTTAAGCAGTTTTATATCCAAAAATCTCCTGTGTGTCCCCAGAGGCATCTCAAACTCAACATGGTCAACAGTTAATTTTTTTTAAATAAAATATCTTTTAATAAGAATTTATTATTGCACATTTAAAAAAATTGTAATTTTCAGAACATGTAAGAAACATGTTTTTCTAATAATGAAATAAGCATATCTTTGATACAGAAATCACACTGTTGTGATCCTTAACTGAAAACATTAGTCAAGAGCTATGACCTTGTATGCTGAACAGAACTATTTGCCCATCCATCTGTCCTTTTTCATAACCCTATTGTGGGGACTTAGGATATAGTTCTGTACACATCTCCATATCTACAAAGAATTAAGATGCTATATCAAAGATATCCAGAAGTTATATATGGTAGAGAACTAATTGGCTTAATTGTTGACACATAACACAGACCACTAAAAAGCAACCTGAGATATAGGACAAGAAAAATAGAACACCATCACTAAGGTCAGATAATGGAAAAACAATCACATCATTTAAATGTGATGCATTGGAAAAAAAGTCACTTCTTCAGAATTATTACATAAATAACTTGCAAAGCTCCAAAGGTAATAACACAGAGCCACGAATTTGATAAGGCACTTTAAAGACAGCAATCAAACATATAAAACACCAAATATAAAATTATTAAAAGCAGTAACCATAGAAATAAACAGGGGAAATATGTATTAATATGTATTACTCTCTTCTTGTATTACTATAAAGAAATAGCCTAGACTGGGTAATTTATAAAGAACAGAGGTTTCATTGGCCCAGGTTTCTGCAGGCTGTGTAGGAAGCATGACGCTGCTTGGCTTTGGTAGGGGGCCTCAGGAAACTTTCAGTCATGGCAGAAAGCAAATGGGAAGCAGGCCTCTTCACAGGACCAGAGGAGAAAGAAGACAGAGACAGGGGAGGTGCCACACACTTTTAAACAACCAGATCTGGTGAGAACTCACTCACTATATAGTACCATGGGGAAACAGTGCTAACCCATTCATGAAAACTCCACCCCCATGATCCAATCACCTCCTTCCTGGCCCCACTTCCAACAATGAGGATTACAATTGAACATGAGATTTGGGCGTGGACACAGATTCAAACCATATCAAATATGCATTCCTTCCAGACAGTCTTTTATTTTCTGAAGTCAAGACTTTTTAAAAAATTGTATAAGGGCAAAAATTATTTGTCTTATATTTTTAAAAACTATTATTAAGATTCAAGTCTCCATAAAAAAGAGAGTGTTTTCCTTCAAGGCAATGGAGTTCTGATTTATACATTTTTAGAGAAATAATTATAGTCTTTGTGCTAAATATAGGAAGAAAAATTAGGTATTCATTATGTTTGTCAACTCTTTTTCTCAACAAACATTGAGTGAGTGTTTTGTGACACTGTTTTAGGTGCTGAGGGTAGGGAAGTAAATAAGACACAATCACTGGTTCTGGAGGATTTAGCCTAATGAGGTGGATCTACTGTTGGCAATCCTACAGTTACCTTCCCTTGGTCCATAAGATTAAGCTCTGCCTCAAACTCTGTCATGCTCGACATCTTTTTGCACGACAAATTGTTACATGTAGCACTGTGGCACTATTAACTATCTACTGATTAAATTTACTCTCAGAAAGAATTCTATGAAAATTTAGAGGTCAGAATGTATTTAAGGTTAAACAAGTACTGGTCAGCATCAAAAATAGCATCAGAATTCTGCTTTCTCAAAAGTCAAGAAAAGCAAGAAAAAAAATTCATTCTGAGTGTGTACAAAACTGCTGGAAAGAGATCATCCTATACATGAGGTACATGTGCCAATATCATATATGAGGAATTATGAATTATTGCACAGTCTTTATGAAACAACTAAGCATGCCAAATCAGCTGTCAGGTTTTGAAGAAGAATCACAGCCCTCTTTCAAGAGATCCCACCACGTTTTCAGGAAACGTGCATTTTCTGTACATTTGATGGCAAGCTCTTCCACTTGAACTGAAACTGCAAATGTGGCTTCAAGAAGTTTTGTTCACAGTGCTATTCTCAATAGCAAAGACATGGACTCAATCTAGATGCCCATCAATGGTGGACCAGATAAAAAAAAATGTGGTACATATGTACCGTGGAATACTATGCAGCCATAACAAGGAATGCGATCATGGCCTTTGCATCAACATGGATGCCACTGGCTGCCATTATCCTGAGTCTATTATCCTACATGAATTAAAGCAGAAACAGAAAACCACACACCAGATGTTCTCACTTAGAAGTGGAAACTGAACATAGAGTACACATGGACACAAAGAAGGGAATACCATGTGACACTGGGGCCTATTTAAGGGTGAAGGTGGGTGGGAGGAGAGTGAGGACTGAAAAACTACCTATCAGATATTTTTCTGATTACCTAGATGACAAAATTATCTTGGTGACACCAAACCCCTGCAACATGCAATTTATTAAACAAACCTGAAAACGGACTCCTTGAACCTAAAACAAAAGTTGAAAGGAAAAAAGTGTAGTTAATGAAAAGGCATCTCCAATCTGCAGCTCAAGTTCCTCCAGCGGGTCCACCATTTGGCTCCTGCCCCTGCTCAGAACTGGCCAGCCCAAACTCACAGGAACGCTCAGGATAGATGCCAAAGAGAAGTCTGAAGATGAGGGAGCAAAGGGAGGCAGCAGGGGTGGTGAAGAAACCTGCAACTCCTCAGGGTCAGCCATGGGAAAGGGCTACAGTGGCAGAGTCTGACCAGAGCAGCTAAACTGACACAAACTGTCTTTCAACTACTTGCCAGAAGTGAACTTTTAATATCCCTTTGCCAACCCTACCGCCTGTGAAACTATGTCTCCGCCATTGGATAGTTCAGTTGGTAACACCACAACCTACTCATCTATTTATCTTCCTCCCTCACTCAACATCCTACCTACCTATCAAGTCCTGCAGGGTTTACTCTCAAAATACTGTCTATGTCGAAATATAAGGGAACCTGGCATTCAGAGTAGAGCCTTGTGGTGGGTTTGCTTTTTTTCCAATTAGAAGATCCTCTCCATAAATCTCAACATTTTTTGAGGGGCGCTAATTTGATAGTCAAACGTCTACCTAGCTATATTTAAATGATTAATTTAGCTATACATGCATACTTAAAATAACATAAAACAGAAGGTACTAATTTAGAATTTAATATCATCACTCACATTTCATCAAACAGTTCCATTTTAATTCTTCATGTGCAAATTTGACAGCAGGGGCTTTGTCATCTCTGGAACCTCCTGTAGAATTAATACTGTTTTCTAGAGCAAATCGTGGTCAATTCTGTGGTGTTTAAGACATCGTATTTTTGGAGTCCAGATGTGATTGTGTCTCTGGAAATATTTTAAAAAGTCACAAGAACCCACGGAACAGCTGTTTTTTCAGCTGTAAACTTTAAGCCTCGCTATGTAATTAGTTATATCTTCATTTTAAAGCCATCTTTCAAACACTTGTTTGTAACACCATCTAACACTTGCACTGGTGAGGTCATAATCTTAGGGAAAACATTTCTTGGAGTCCTATTTTTTTCTTGTCAGTTTCCAAATGATGTGAGGAAGAATCTCCTATGTTCAGCATTCTTTTATATATCAAGCTAGGAAAAACAGAAATTTGCTGCTAATTGAAGAGATCCTAAGAATCAATATTGAAGAGCAGGTCTCCCTTCATTCCCCTTAGAGCAGGCTTTCTAGAACTCTGACCCAGGGATGTTTAAGTATCAGAGGGAGCTCTCCCCTCAGATGAGCTGATGCACTGGGGTACACGGCCCAGGCTCTAAGCTGGACTTCAGTTGAAACCACTATGTGAGCCTGGGCGTGGTCAGTGGCTCAAGCCTGTAATCCCAGGATTTTGGGAGCCGAGACGGGGAGATCACAAGGTCAGCCTGGCGACAAAGCAAGACTCCATCTCAAAAAATGAAAGAGGAAAAAAAAGAAATTATTATGTGCGAGAAACGTCTCACCCCAGCTCTAGCCTGGCTGGACCGTGCTTCTCTCCAAAAGGGGCTTCCTGTCTTGAGACCTTGGCTCGCTCCTCTTCCTCCTGCGAGATGCTGTTCTCCTTCACTCTCCATGTTCATATTTCAACCCGCTTGTTCATTGCAGTTCAGCTTCTAAAACGATCCCAAATCCTGGTTAGCCATTTCACACTTTGGATGAGAAGATATGAATAATTCAGCCCAGTCCATCACTATCATAAAAGCAGCTGAAGATCAAGTTCTGTCAAGGTGGAGCCAACAACATCTTTCTTTACATTTTCAGAGGAAAGCAAGCATATCTTTAGCATTGTGATGAAATCTGCCTTGTAGGCCTCTGAACATGCTCTTGTGTATTTTCTGTGGCCCATTATGGTAATTTCTTCTCCTCTTTACCTTTTTTTGTAACTGGGTGATTATACTGCCAGTCCCTGGGTACTATAATTTGCATTGCAATATGAAGCTTCCATTTAATGCTTGCAAATTATGGGCCCAGGGCTGAAGCTCTAATGTGGGAGTTGCTTCCACATAAGTCAGAAGAAGTTTACGTATATATGAGTGTGGCTCTGGGAATAAAGAACTTCTTTTCATAATCACAATTTAATATTTAAAAATAAAATCTAAGTTAACAGAAAAATAATAGGAGCAGGCTTACCATAAAAGGCAGAGGAGAACGGAAATGAAGTGCTCTCATAAACGTTTCATAAAATACAACCACACACATATCACACACTGGGGAGCAATGCTATAAAATTTCTTCACAGGAAGAGGCAATGTTCTTTCCATTGCCCTTCCATTTCAGCAAGGATTTGTTCTGCATTCTGAAGTCCCTACAGGTGAGTACTCACAGGCATTGCAGAATTTCAAAGAAAAGAAGTTACTATCGCTGGGCTGGGAAGATGGGGAAAGAGAAATGAGCTCTATCCAGGGAAATCACAGGTGATTGCTATCAGAGGACAAGGATTTTCATATAGATGTGTTCTAGTTCAGGTTTTTTTAGAAGACATAGTTTTTTTGTGATCTCAAATTCAGGGGAAAGCATGGTGTTTTGAAGGAGGACAATTTTCCTAGAGGTAAGAAGACCTGGGTTCAGTCTCATTTCACCTCCTAACTGCCAAGTAACCCCTTAGTAAGACCTTGGCTTTGTTATATTTATTATGGAGATTGAATATGTTGAATAATTGAGAATATCTTGAACATTTAATGTTCTAGGCTGGCTGCTAGTGCTCACTGGTGTGTGAAGACTAGTGTAGCAGGTTCATAGTCTATAGCCACCAAGGCAAATTCTTCACCTAGTGTGTTATTCCAGCATGGAGCTATATAAAGGAATTAGTGGGACACCAGATCTGAAGCCTGGTAGTTGGCTCGTCTCTGATTTGTTGGTCTGGCAAAATGCTTTCTATTCTGTGCAACAATCTTCCATGGAGTTAGTTTTCTGTGGAAGATGTGCACAGAGGGGTGTGTGTGTGTGTGTGTGTGTGTGTGAGAGAGAGAGAGAGAGAGAGAGAGAGAGAAACAGAGAGACAGAGACAGAGACAGAGGCAAAGACACACACACACACACACACACACAGCGAAAGAGAGAGAGAGAGAGAGAGAGAGAGAGAGAGAGAGAGAGAGAAACGCCAGAGCTAGCTATGCTCTGAGAAGTACAAAGTTAAAATACATGGAATTAGCAAAACCAAGAACAGAGAGGTGAAATTGAAGATGAGACAGTCCTGAGCCAGATTCTGTTAGAAAAACAGCCACAGAAAAGTACCAGTACTTACAAATAATGCTTTGTTCTCTGCAGTTTAGCTATAGGTCTGTATTTAAATAACATTATTTTAAAACTTCCCAGAATACACTTATGTATAAATAAGATTTATATGGAGTGAAGCAATTTCAGGTTTTAGGAAATTCCTTAAGTAAAATTATTTGTTTTATTTAAAAATGCTCATAGTAGATATGTTAATATTTTCCAGTTTTCAATTAAGGTCTGCTTATTTCAAGAAATAGCTAATAAAATAAACTAAGATATGAATTCCAAGACTGCTACCATATAACAAAAAGATACAGATGTTCTCTTGAACTTTATTGTTGTAAAATTGGACGCATATGGAATTGTTCATAATTATTCCCATAGTATGAAAAATGTATACTGACCATTTTGAACCTAAATCTTTTCCTAGTCATTTGGCCTATTTGGATGAAGCATCGTAGAATGCAAAGAATAAAAGCTTTGGCAACCCTGGGCTCAAATCCTGGCATTGCCTCTTCTTTTATGATCTTGAGAGAGTTTCATAATCTATCTAAGCTTTGGGTTCCTCTCCTATTAAAAAAGAAAGATAATATTTTCGGAGATGGTTTTGAAAATTAGAGATGATGTATTTAAATACACAGCCAATGGCACTTGATAGGAATGCTGTGATAGCAGCTATTTGCAATAAACTGAATGTTTGTGTCTCCTCAAAATTTCATGTTGAAATCCTAATCCCAATGTGATAGTATTTAAAGATGTAGTCATTGGGAGGTGATTAGATCATGAGGGTGGAGCCCTCATGAATGGGATTAGTGCCCCTCTATGAAAAGGCTAAGGAGTTAGCTAGCTTTCTTTCTTCCATGTGAAGACACAGCAAGAAGTCAACAGTCTGCCACTCAGAAGAGGACCCTCACTAGAACCTGATCATGCTAGCAGCTTGATCTTGGACTTCCAGCCTCTAGAACTGTAAGAAATGTTTCTGTTGTTCATAAACTACCCAGCCTATGGCACTTTCTTACAGCAGCCTGAGCTAACTAAGACACTACTGTTATTCCATTCCATGAACCTGGCCTGTTGCAACACTCCCAGCTACGTGTCTATGTGTAGGATGAGAAACCACTGGTATAAACACAATGTGGACATGAAAACAAGTTCTCTTTTCATTGAGATGGAGGATCATGGAGGAAGCCCTGCTAATATGAACACACATGAAAACTACTGTCTGGCAGTCAGCCCTGATTCTCCATGCTCACAGTGACGGGGATAGAATGGGCCCCCTCATTTCCATCCTAGCCACACCATCATTATAAACATTTGTGCTCCCATTGGAAGTTCCAACTTTCTGTGCTCTCATTGAAAGGTCTAATGACCACTTCTGAGAGAGGCTCTTATCCGAATGAGTTGGGAAGCTGAGCCAGAGGTGTCTAGGATCGTTTCTGGCAACACACAGAACTTAAGGAGACCCTAATCTGGAAGAAGTGTCCTTAACACCTTAACAAGTGCAAACACAAAAACCTTGGCAGCTGAAAAGAAGTCCTGTCACTCCAACAGCTTTTCATCATCTTTTCAAAAGTGAAACACACACACACACACACACACACACACACACACACACACACACACAGAGAGAGAGAGAGAGAGAGAGAGAAAGAGAGAAATGAAAGTGTCTTAGAATGCTGTGTGCTGATCTAGACCCTGCCTGCGATAATCCCCATCGTTTTCTGCTCACTCTGCTTTGGCAGCCCTGGTCTAGCTTCAGGCCTGCACTCCTGTTCTCTCTGCCTGGAAAGCCGTTCTCTCTGCCTGGAAAGCCCTTCTTCTCCCTGATCTTTCCATGGTTCAGACCCTCGTTACACACAGGTATCTGCTCGAAGAGAAGGCCTTCCTGGCCCTCTCTGGGTAAAAGATTGCCCGCCCCATCCTTCCCTTCCTCCATCCTGCATTCCTTTTCTCCTTTCCCTTCCTTTCTGTCATTTCTTA